ACCCCCCCCCCCCCCCTAGGATCTAAATACTGTTGTCAAAGGATTTTTTTTTAAATTGAGAAAAAAAGTTCTATGAAAAAGCTCAGAGAACAGTGTTATCTCTCCCAGTTGAATCTTTATTAAAAACAACAAAACAGAATCAAATTCATTGTTGATGTAGCTGGTTGGAACACAAGTCCCTCTTCACAAATTTTTGAGAAATATTATTCCGAAAGGATAGCATACTGTTTTCACAAGCGAGGTAACACACGGCGAGGTGTCACGATGAGGTGTCACTGCGAGGTATCACGGTGGTGTGCCGGCGAGGTATCACGTTGGTGTCACGGCGAGGTGTCGCGGTACGGTGTCACAGCGCGGTATCACGATGGTGTCACGGTGAGGTGTCGCAGCGAGGTGTCACGGTGGTGTCACAGCGAGGTAACACACGGTGAGGTGTCACGGTGAGGTAACACACGGTGAGTTGTCACAGCGAGGTATCACATCATTCACTGCATTAAAAAAAATTGATGATTACAGAGGCGCTCTCAACTTTGGCTAAAGTTTTTCATGTTTAAATATTTTCTTTTGGCCAATATTAATTTGTCCAAAACTATCCAAGGGTGTCAATTGTAATGGTTTGCGAATCCCTGTCAGACTCATTCATTATTTAACTTTAATATAAAAATGGGAAAGATTTTCCTTGTGAACAAATCTTCCTCGAAGTCGACGAAGGCTTCTTGCCGACACTTTCGTTGTTTTGTTGGAGTTCAGGTTTCCCCAAACTTTGTTTCGCTAATTTCCAATTATTTTATGTATATATCCTGTGTGAATTATGAAAAAAGAATGTTCAAAGTTTGTTGCCCACACCCCCCCCCCCCACATCCTGAGAAAATGTCTGCGAGCGCCCTTGCACGTAGTTTAACATCAACGGGCCGCCTGTGGTTCAACATTAAAATGCCAAGACAGTGTCACTCTACATCAGTGGTTCTCAACCTTCCTAACATGTAGATGTTCAACCAGATGTTACATATAGACGACCCCTGGGGACATCTGGTTGAACATCTATATGTTACTTTTGGTTGGACATCTATATGTAACATCTTGTTGAACATCTATATGTAACATCTGGTTGAACATCTGTTACTTTTGGTTGGACATCTATATGTAACATCTGGTTGAACATCTATATGTAACATCTGGTTGAACATCTATATGTAACATCTGGTTGAACATCTATATGTAACATCTGGTTGGACATCTATATGTTACATCTGGTTGGACATCTATATGTTACATCTGGTTGGACATCTATATGTTACATCTGGTTGGACATCTATATGTTACATCTGGTTGGACATCTATATGTTACATCTGGTTGGACATCTATATGTAACATCTGGTTGGACATCTATATGTAACATCTGGTTGGACATCTATATGCAACATCTGGTTGGACATCTATATGTTACATCTGGTTGGACATCTATATGTAACATCTGGTTGGACATCTATATGTAACATCTGGTTGAACATCTATATGTAACATCTGGTTGGACATCTTTGCGTAACGTCAAGTTTGTATTGACGAACAGTCACCCGTTCATATGTAACAGCACGGTGGATACTGTTTTAATTAAACGGATAACGGACGAACAGGACGCGTACAGCAGTGACGGAATGGAACATGATCGGAACATCCACTGCGGAACATGATCAGAACATCCCCTGGCACATAATCGGAAAATCCCCTGGAACATGATCGGAACATCCCCTATGAGAACATGATCGGAACATCGCCTGGAACATGATCGGAACATCCCTAGGACATGATCGGCACATCCCCTAGAACATGATCGTAACATCACCTGGAATATGATCGAAACATCGCCTGGAATATGATCGGAACATCGCCTGGAACATGATCGTAACATCGCCTGGAATATGATCGGAACATCGCCTGGAATATGATCGGAACATCGCCTGGAACATGATCGGAACATCCCATATTAGAACATGATCGGAACATCCCCTGGCACATGATCGGAACATCTCCTGGAACATGATCGGAAATCCCTAGGACATGATCGGCACATCCCCAGGAACATGATCGGAACATCGCCTGGAACATGATCGGAACATCCCCAGGAACATGATCGGAACATCGCCTTGTCCTACCCGTTGGCCTTCGCCAGTCAGCGGCCGGCGTAAAGGCTTCGGAGGCAGCTAGGAATGGAGCATCTTGCATTCTTTATGAACATATCGAGGAGACAAACCCGTGGGTGGAATTTCGGATTATGTTTAGGCACGCATGACGACATAGTCCCATTTACAATTCAAAGCATGAAATTTGACATTTTAAAGCAAGTCGACATTAAAACCGAATGTGCTGAGAGATTTGAGGGTACACTTCTCACTTGATATAATGATAACTGGCTGTTGTTCTTGCTGCACGCTACATTCGTGGATTGTATTATTTTACAAAATAATCCCGTTGTTTTATTTGTTTTTTAGAGATCATATGAGCTTGACGTCACTTGGTATATAATCTCTAAGCATAAAAAGTAAACCGTCTACACAATTTTCGAAATAGTCGTCTTAGTCTCAACATACAAACTGAACAAAAAGTTTCGATTTTGGTGTGTTATTGTTTATAGTTGAGACGGTAGAGAAAGTACGCTCTCCACGCACACAGAGACTAGACCTGCACGCACACACGCATACACATGCACGCGCACATGCAGACAGACACAGACACATGCACACACAAAGATACACACACACACACACATTAACGTCAAACGTATTTTATTTTTCCTGCTATCCTCTTGACAACCGCTAAAAACTAAAATGACAAGGAGCGAAAATTAAAGATTTGCCAGAACATGCTCTAGTAGACAAAACTGTTTCTGAAAGTTTCTTTTGAACTTAATTTTACTATGTTGTATACGAGATGTTTTATAGATTCATTGCATAGACATAGTTTGGGCGTCAAAACTGCAATATACACGGCACAGATATCAATATGGACGGCACAGATATCAATAATGACGGCATAGATATCAAAATGGACGGCACAGGTATCACAATGGACGGCACATATATCAAAATGGACGGCACAGGTATCAATACAGACGGCACAGATATCACTGGGCATGGCACAGATGTCAATATACACGGCACAGATATCAATATGGACGGCATAGATATTAAATATGGACGGCACAGATATCAATATGGACGGCACAGATATCAATATGGACGGCACAGATATGAAAATGGACGGCACAGATATCAATATGGATGGCACACACATCAATATGAACGGCACATATATCAATATGGATGGCACAGGTATCAATATGGACGACACAAGTATCAATATTGACGACACAGGTATCAATATTGACGACACAGGTATCAATATGGACGGCACACACATCAATATGAACGGCACACATATCAATAGGGACGGCACACATATCAATGGGGACGGCACAGATATCAATATGGACGGCACAGATATCAATATTTTAAAATCTGATTTACACAACTAAAAAAATTGATTAAGAGAGAGAAAAACATATGTTTATTATAGGGCATTCAAAGAAACACAATTACTGTAATGATGATCACACACCCATGAATCAAATAAGGGTTTTCCCCAACAATCTGTCTCGTTTGCCGAGTCTGACCCGACGCCTCTGTCTGTGCAGCCCGCTAGCCAACATTAGATTTAACATCTGCAGTGTTCCACCATTAGTTTTGAAATACGTGATGTAATGGATCTTACGTGACGCTAATAAAATACGTGATTTGAAGGGTCTTATGTGACGCTAATAAAATAGGTGATTTGAAGGGTCTTATGTGACGCTAATAAAATACGTGATTTTAAAGATCTTATGTGACGCTAATAAAATAGCGGATTTGAAGGATTTTATGTGACGCTAATAAAAAATACCTAATGAAATTGATCTTATGTGACGCTAATAAAATACGTGATTTGAAGGATCTTATGTGACGCTAATAAAATACGTGATTTGAAGGATCTTATGTGACGCTAATAAAAATACGTGATTTGAAGGATCTTATGTGACGCTAATAAAAATACGTGATGTAATGGAGCTTATGTGACGCTAATAAAATACGTGATTTGAAGGATCTTATGTGACGCTAATAAAAATACGTGATGTAATGGAGCTTATGTGACGCTAATAAAAATACGTGATGTAATGGATCTCATGTCACGCTAATAAAATTCGTGATGTACTGGATCTTATGAGACGCTAATAAAATACGTGATGTAATGGATCTTATGTGACGCTAATAAAATACGTGATGTAATGAATCTTATGTGACGCTAATAAAATACGTGATTTGAAGGATCTTATGTGACGCTAATAAAAATACGTGATGTAATGGAGCTTATGTGACGCTAATAAAATACGTGATGTAATGGATCTTACGTGAAGCTAATAAAATACGTAATGTAATGAATCTCATTTCACGCTAATAAAATTCGTGATGTACTGGATCTTATGAGACGCTAATAAAATACGTGATGTAATGGATCTTATGTGACGCTAATAAAATACGTGATGGAATGAATCTCATGTCACGCTAATAAAATACGTGATGTAATGGATCTTATTTAACGCTTATAAAAACACGTGATGTAATGAATCTCATGTCACGCTAATAAAATACGTGATGTAATGGATCTTATTTAACGCTTATAAAAACACGTGATGTAATGAATCTCATGTCACGCTAATAAAATACGTGATGTAATGGATCTTATGTGACGCTAATAAAAATACGTAATGTAATGGATGTTATGTCACCCTAATAAAATACGTAATGTAATGAATCTTATGTCACGCTAATAAAATACGAGATATAATGGATCTTATTTAACGCTTATAAAAACACGTGATGTAATGGATCTTATGTGACGCTAACAATGACGCTAAATAAATATTCTTTTTGTACGATGCTTCATTTAGGACAATTTTCAAATCAATTTCGTTGACCTTTTGGGCCTTTACAAAAAATGTTTGCGGACCATTACCTCAGAACAATGATTGAATACATTAGCAGCATTGGTCCCAGTTCTTTTATATTTGTTTCTTACAAAGAGACCAGGATTTCTCATAAATGAAATCATCTCTAAAATATTTTATAAAATGCATTCATTTTTTTTTTTTTTTTTTTTTAAATAAGCGTTTGTACCAACCAAGAATTCCGTGTTTGTCACGAGACGAACGAGAGGTTTTTGTAGACGTGTGCATGCCTGGCCGCCCCGGTGAACGTCTGGTTGTAGAGTAGCTCGTCCATGCAGTGGAGGGCAGCAGGGTGGAGTCTGAGGTAAAACTTGTTGGCGAACAGCTCGGGCCTCCGTGCCAGGCCCTGCAGATCCTCTGGGCTGAAGATGCAGATGTCCCTCACAAAGTCTGACGCGCAGGAGCCTGACCACGGCCAGACGGCGTATGACGTCAGGAAGGGGAGGTCATCGGGTCTGCCTGAAAGAAAGAAACATATAAACTATTTCCCATTCATTGTACTCCTAAAATGCCTCGACGATCGTTCCCTAAATTGTCAAATGATTTTTGGAGTCAATGATAATGTTATGAAAAGAATATATATCTTATTACGAAGCAAATCAACATTACGAGACATAACACCATACATCGAAATAAGATACATATGTTAACATAAATAGCTCTACAATACATACGTCTGTGCTACATACATCGAAAGATCGTACTTATAATAAAATAAATCGTGCTGCAAAAGATACGACATTGCCACATACGATACATATCAACTGACATCGGACATGATTTTAGATGTATCGTCCAGGAAATATACCATTCGTAGTAGCCAATGGGTCGCAGTATAAATCTACGCGTAGCAGGATAATCTATACGTCGCATGGTGTTCAGGAAACTCAGCATTGATTTATTATTTATAATTTGACATAATAATAATAATAATAAAGTTTATTTGAAAGACACGCTTCATCCCCAAAAGCTCGAAGCGCGGTACAATGTCAACCATATTAAAAAGAGAAAAAAAAAAAAAAAAAAAAAAAAAAGAAAAACAATAAAAAAAAAAACGAAACAAAAAAAAACTAAATTTTAAAAAACCAAAAAAAAATCGAAGTATAAATCTACGCGTAGCAGGATAATCTATACGTCGCATGGTGTTCAGGAAACTAAGCATTGATTTATTATTAATAATTTGACATAATAAAAATAATAATAAAGTTTATTTGAAAGACACGCTTCATCCCCAAAAGCTCGAAGCGCGGTACAATGTCAACCATATTAAAAAGAGAAAAAAAAAAAAAAAATCTAAAATGTACCACATTAAAAAAATAGACGCAACAATATAAAACTACATTTGAGCAAACCAAGTCAAAGTCTTTCATCCCGTTTCAACCATAAACAACACAGACCAATATAAATTAACTGGAAAAGATGGTAGATAGTATCACCACAGAAGGTTTTTGCGAAATAGGTGTGTTTTTAAATCGGTTTTAAAGGACTCCAGTGTCTGGCTGTTTCTGAGAGCGACTGGAAGTGCGTTCCAAATTGTTGGGCCGGCAAATGAAAAAGTGCGCTTTCCGTAAGGCTCAAGGCGCACACACGGTATCGATATTTTGCCACTATCGGATGAGCGGAGCTCTCTTAGTGGGTACATACGGCGTCATGGGTGCTTTGAGATAAGATGGCGCCAGGTCATGTAAGCAGCGGTAGCTCAAAGTTGCAATTTCGTACTCTATGCGAGCGCGGACCGGCAACCAGTGCAGCTCTCTCAGTTAGTGTTTTAGCATGGTCGAATTTGCGTTTGCGAAGAACAATGCGAGCCGCATTATTCTGTGCTCTTTGAATTTTATCCAGGAGCGTAGATGGGAGACCCACCATGAGAGCATTGCAGTAGTCCATGCGTTATAACACAAATGCAGACATCAGCCTCTTTGATGCATCTAACGTTAAGAAAGGTCTGATATGACTAATCCTGCGCAGAACTAGGAAAATTGCCTTGCAGAGCATGTTAATATGATTTTCCATAGTAAGTGTTCTGTCTTAATAGACACCCAGGTCTCGCACTGTATGAGCAAACTCAATCGGTATACCTGAGAGAGTAAGTGATGTTGCGTTTTTTACAGATTTTTGTTTCTGAGCAGTGGCAATGGGGATCAGCTCAGTCTTTTCATCATTCAATTTGGGCTTGTTTATGGTCATCCAGTGCTTAACTGACTCCACTGTCTTCTGTGTCGTACTAAGAAGTTGAGGGAACTGAGAGGGGATCACGGATTGATGAAGTTGTGTATCGTCCGCGAACATGTGATACAGCATGTCAAATTGCTTGATCACTGCACCCAGTGGCTGAATGTATATAGTGAAAAGCATCGGGCCTAGGACCTAGCCCTGGGGTACTCCGAATTCAATTATAGATTGCTTCGAGGTCAAGCCGTTTGAAATAACTGACTGGACCCGATTTGTCATATACGAGTGAAACCATCTCAGGACGGTATCTGTGAGACCGAACGTTTTAGCAGAAGCTGGAGCAGTAGGCCGTGGGTCAGGCGTATCGAAAACTGGCGATAAATCGAGTAAAGACAAAATGGATACCCGGCCCTCATCACAAGACGACAGAAGGTCATTTATGACGCGCAATGGGGCTGTCTCAGAAGAGTGATGGTGATTTTCTAGGAATCTAGTGTTCTAGCTAGACAACTACCACGCCAAATTTAAAAAAATTAAAAAATTGATGCCCTCCCCTCAGCACAAAATAAGTTTTGCCCACATGCCACAGAGTGAAGCAGTAAAGTTGCCTTATAGTTTGTTAAGCCCCACACAGCTGTTCCGACATGGACGGTTTATAGTTGAGACGCCTTAAAAAATACTACAGTGATTAAAACCTGGGCGATTTTGAATTATTAAAAGAAATTTTACTGCCATAAACAAGCCAGGATCTGATGCTTTTTTGTTGTTTCACGACAGCTTGTAAACATGTCATTAAAATGTCTTACTTTTATGTGCCAGGCGTATTAAAAATAATGTGATTACACTTACATCAGTGGTTCTTAAAACTTTTTTTTTTTTCGGCCACCGCCCCCTTGGCATCATAAAGCCATTTCTATCGCCTCCCAAAGTAAACCAAAACAACAACAAGATGAACTTTGTTTAGGACAGTAAGAAATATAACTCAATAACAACATTGTTCAGCACAGTAAGAAATATAACTCAATAACAACATTGTTCAGGACAGTAAGAAATATAACTCAATAACAACATTGTTAAGGACAGTAAGAAATATAACGCAATAACAACATTGTTCAGGACAGTAAGAAATATAGCTCAATAACAACATTGTTCAGGACAGTAAGAAATATAACTCAATAACAACATTGTTCAGGACAGTAAGAAATATAACTCAATAACAACATTGTTCAGCACAGTAAGAAATATAACTCAATAACAACATTGTTCAGGACAGTAAGAAATATAACTCAATAACAACATTGTTCAGGACAGTAAGAAATATAACTCAATAACAACATTGTTCAGGACAGTAAGAAATATAACTCAATAACAACATTGTTCAGGATAGTTAGAAAGATAACGCAATAAATGCAAAAGAGTTGTAGGTAGGTTTAAACTGTTAAAAGGAAATTAATTCCTTTATATTTTCATTGACTAATCGATCAAACACTTCAGTTTTTTCAAAGTAGAATTATGATTAGAGAATTAATTAGTAAACTTACTTCCACATTGCTCTGATATGCTTACTGTGTGGTCGGCTTAGTAAAGTGATGAAATTTTTTGTTCAAGTTCTCCTTTGGTCAAACACTCTAAAATCAACATTTTGAGAAATTTGGACTACATTTCTTTGGGTAGAGCAGGACAGAGATTCTGAATCTCTTTCCACAGTGCATGATAACAGCCAAAACTCAGAGTACAATTTCCTAAACCATTCATTGAACCAACAAATACATCTGCCACCAAAAAATGGATTGATCATCCAATCCAAAATTTCAATTAAAGAAGATTTTAAGATAGCTCAGGCAAAATATTATGTACCGTATTGTTAAGTTCACAATATATTTGAAGCGGTATTGCGTAACTAGGAGGTGCGTAACTAGGAGGCGCGTAACTAGGAGGCGCGTAACGCACCGGGATGGCACCCTTAAAAAAAGTGTGTGTGTGGTTTGGAGGGTGGGGTGGGGGGTTACACTAAACGGAACAGTGCAAACATGAAAGTGGTCGCTTAAGTCCTTTTCAAAACAGAACTTAGTTTTATACATAAGCAGCCAGGGGTACCACTAAATCAGGTTACCTCTATAGCAGGTTGCCTATAGAATAATGTGTCAATAGACAGAGTAGGTTGCGAGCAGAGCAGGTTGCAGACCAGAGAAGGTTGCAAACAAGCAGATTGCCACTAGAACAGTGTCTCAACATAGCAATTAGACAGATCACGAGACCGAGCAGGGGGCCATAAAAGTAGCTTGCCATCAGAGTAGGGTGCCAATCAAAGCAGGGTGCCATCAAAGCAGGGTGCCATCAAAGCAGGGTGCCATAGAAGTAGCTTGCCATCAGAGAAGGGTGCCATCAAAGCAGGGTGCCATAAAAGTAGCTTGCCATCAGAGTAGGGTGCCATCAAAGCAGGGTGCTATAAAAGTAGCTTGCCATCAGAGAAGGGTGCCATCAAAGCAGGGTGCCATAAAAGTAGCTTGCCATCAGAGTAGGGTGCTATAAAAGCAGGGTGCCATCAGAGTAGGGTGCCATCAAAGCAGGGTGCCATAAAAGTAGCTTGCCATCAGAGTAGGGTGCCATCAAAGCAGGGTGCCATCAGATTAGTGTGACATCAAAGCAGGGTGCTATAAAAGTAGGTTGCAATCAGAGTAGGGTGCCATCAAAGCAGGGTGCTATAAAAATAGGTTGCAATCAGAGTAGGGTGCCATCAAAGCAGGGTGCTATAAAAGTAGGTTGCAATCAGAGAAGGGTGCCTTCAAAGCAGGGTGCTATAAAAGTAGGTTGCAATCAGAGAAGGGTGCCATCAAAGCAGGGTGCTATAAAAGTAGGTTGCAATCAGAGAAGGGTACCATCAAAGCAGGGTGCCATCAGAGCAGGATGCCATCAGAGCAGGTTGCAAACCGAAATGGCTGCCACCAGATTAGGGTGTCACCAGAGCAGACAGACGTAGTGAGGTCCAAGGGAAGGTCTGAAAATGAGGGGCTATGTGACATTTTGAGCTTGCCGCACTGGCATTTGAATCCTCTGGCACAAGTCACACGGCCGCCATGGAGTGGAATGAAGCAAGGTATGTGGAACGAAACTGACCTTTGTAGCCCCCTGGCACAGCCACATTGGTGGCGAAGTTAAGAATGGCCCAGAAATACTCGTCCGGACTGTACAGCCACCGGGACCACTCCAGGACGTCCCTGGCCACCGGGCTGTGGAGGACGAAGGTGACGAACTCCCTGGAGAAGCTGCCGTAGGCGCTGCTCTTGACTGGACGTAAGTTGTGTGGGATGGGTCGGTGCTCTACGTCGGTCTTAACCATGGTCACTGTACCTGGGGGATATAGCGTGGAGGTCAGCCTTCAGTGGATGATGGTGTGGTACACGTGGATGCAACAATTGTTGACTCGCGTGTGAATTTCACATGTGTCTAGTGGCGTGGGATGTGATGTGTGTAGGGGGGGGCGTGGTCCGCCCCTGCCATCACTTTTTTGCTTAATATGGAGCGGCGGCATTTTCTGCTTATTGCAAAGTGAGAGATTTTTTCGTGATGGGGGGGGGGGCACACTTGCAAACCTCCAAGGGCGGCACTAAACATTGATGATTACGCCACTGCAAGTGTGTATATGGCAGATGTGAATATGACTAATATGGATATTTGAATGTAGATATGACCAAGGTGGATATGTGAATGTAGATATGACCAAGGTGGATATTTGAATGGGGATATGACCAAGGTGGATATTTGAATGTAGATATGACTAAGGTGGATCTTTGAATGAAGATATGACCAAAGAGAATATTTGAATGTAGATATAACTAAGGTGGATATTCGAATGTAGATATAACTAAGGTGGATATTTGAATGTAGATATGACTGAGGTGGATATTCGAATGTAGATATGACTGAGGGGGAAAATTCAATGCAGAGATATGTGGGCCTTAAAATACAACAACAAAAAAAGGTCTATGATCACTTCAAAAAAAAAAAAAAATCAAATTATAAATTCATTATAACTTGCAACCCTTCAAGCAATCTTTCTTACATAACTGTTCTGGTATGGCCACAAATATTGACCGGTCCATAATGAATCCAAATAAATTATCAGACACCGACAAACACGCCCACTGTACCACGTTTCCCCACCTGATTGGTCATCTTTCTTTGGCTCGTATCTCCACTGATAGCGTGTAGGCATTACTTCCCTGGTGTTACCTTCGATGTTGTTGGTGCCTTTGAATATCTTTAAAACCTTGACCAGCTCCAAATTGGTTCTGTCAAAATCGACAAAACAATGTGTCGTTCTTTACAATCAGCAGACCCAGAATGGCTGACGCTATAACTTCCGGTTGTCGCGACCAGCTCTCTTGGGTTTAAGCTATTATCGACCACGCGTTATTAAATTTGAAGCCTTCTATTTTCAATAATAAGCCATATATTATGAATCATCAGCCCTGGTTAACAGTTATCAACATTAGCACCAATTATCAGCTGACTGCCATTTTGCAAATCATTGAGCATCCATCAATAATTTTTCAGCCCCTTTGAGCGAGTGTGTCTACTGATGTATTTAACTAAGACTTAAACTCAACATGAACTTTAAAAATCAATCTCATGACTATGAGATGGCAAAGGATTAAGTATCCTTATTTCTAACGACCAATTTTTGTAAACTTCTAGGATGTTCAATATTATAGCCAAATAAGGATTCAATCATACCGTAAGGGGAACTGCTGTCCCGGCATGTTGATGACGTATTTCCATTTGACCGGATGTTGAAGCAGATCTTCCATGCAGTCAATGTCCGCCATCAGCCGAGAGAACCCGGCGTACACGATGTTCTCCAGCTTGCTGGCAACAAACACATTTGGCAGACATCTGACCACAGCCCGGACAGCCTCCAGAAACTCGATGCTGGACTTGGTGTCCACACTCAGGCAGTAGACGTTGTGTGGACGGTAGATGGCGCGCAAGAGAAACAGGACCTTTGGAGCAGACGATAAAAAATAAAAACCTTGTTAGAGAAACGGGAACATTGTGCAGAGGATAACTAGGATCATAAGGGATTTTGTCACTTCCCTCCCCCAAGGTTTTCCCCTTACGAACATCCTCCGAGTCCTATGCCTGTTCTAATGTAAGCTAGTTGTCGTGTAGCCCTGCTATGGTTGCACCCATTTCCGGTGGCACAATGTTCTTGGTGTTAGCTAAATGATCTTATTGTGTTAGCTCTATAATCTTCTTGTTTTAGATCTATAGTATTCTTGTGTTAGCCATATAATCTTCTTGTGATAGCTTTATATTCATCTTGTGTTAGATATGTAATCTTCTTGTGTTAGCTTTCTAATCTTCTTGTTTGCTATATAATCTTTTTGTGTTAGCTTTATAATCTTCTTTTTATTAGCTATATAATCTTCTAGTGTTAGCTATATAATCTTCTTGTGTTAGCTAATAATCAGCTGTAATATCAAATCGAGCTCTGTCCCCTTTCATGATTTCCCTTCTGACGCCAGCCCCCGCCCCTCTTAGGGTGTCACCCGGCTTCGCTCCCCCCCCCCGCATGCCCTAATGACCTTACTGCCCCCGTCCATATATTACGGTATGTCTTTAGATATCTCATATGTCAGTAAAGTCGTAGTTGTTTTACATGCTTCGCAAACGAAAATCAATTGTCAGAACTCAGTCATAGGCTGAAAAACTTATTTAATATATTAATCTTATAGGAGGATTTATTTAATTTTTTTTTTTCATTTTTAAATTTTTTAAATTATTTAATTTTTAAAAAAAATCTTTTATATTATCTTCGCTTTTGTTCGTGTGCTTCTGGCTAGGTGGAACAATCTTTTGGCAAATAGGCCTAGACTGGTTGCCGATGACAACATATTCTTTCACATTTTTAGCCCCAACCCCCCCC